AAGCAAATGTGGTGAAGAAAGCTGATGGTGTTCGGCTATCAAAAGATATAGCATCTGGGGTCTTAAAGGCTTGAAGGTAAACAAGCAGCCATCTAGCTCAGAAGCAACAAAGCCCACATGGAAGAAGCACAGCAGCCTGTGTGACCACAAGGTGTCCAAGGGATCAGGTATCAGGAATCAAAGAACAAAAAAAAACCATATCATTGTGAATGAGAGGGAGTGCAGAGTGGGGACCCAAAGCCCCTCTGTAGGCAACTGGACACTCCCTTACTGAAGAGTTGCGTGGGAGGAGACAAGCCAGTCAGGGTGTAGTGTAGCAACAATGAAATACAAAACTTTCCTCTAGTTCTTTAATGCTTCTCTCCCACCCCCACCCTCCGCGCACTATCATAATCCCAATTCTACCTTACAAATCCAGCGAGACCAGAGGATGTACACTGGTACAGATAGGAACTGGAAACACAGGGAATCCAGGACAGATGAACCCTTCAGAACCAGTGGTGAGAGTGGCGATACTGGGAGGGTGGAGGGAAAGTGGGGTAGAAAGGGGGAACCGATTACAAGGATCTACATATAACCCCCTCCCTGGGGGTCAGACAGCAGAAAAGTGAGTGAAGGGAGATGTCAGACAGTGTAAGTCATGACGAAATAATAATAATTTGTAAATTATCATGGGTCATGAAGGAGGAGGGGTGGGGTGGGAGGAGGAAAAATGAGCTGATACCAAGGGCTCAAACAGAAAGCAAATGTCTTGAGAATGATGAGGGCAACAAATGTACAAATGTGCTCGACATACAATGGATGGATGTATGGATTGTGATAAGAGTTGTACGAGCCCCCAATAAAAATGATTTTTTAAAGAAGAAAAGAAAAATGAGAATGGTTCAATATTAGAAAAGCAATCAATGTAAACTACCACATATATAAAAACAAATAAAGGGTCCCATGATCATCTCAGTTGATGCAGAAATGGCATTTGATAAAATATAACTTGCATTAATAATAAAAAATACTTTCAGAAAAATTTTGAATAGAAGGGAAATACCTTATACTAAACAGGATATTTATACAAAGCAATAGCCAACATTATTCTCAATGAAGAAAGACTTAAAGCATTTCCCCTCAGAACAGAACAGACATAAACGCCCTTAAATTGGTAAGAAAAAAATTAAAAATTTCCATATTCACAGTAGTTATAATCCTATACATTGAATATTGCAAACGTTCAACAAGAAAACTACTGGAACTGATTGAAGGATTCGAGCAAACTTGCAGGAGCTAGGATAAACATACAAAAAGTATACATCAAGAAAGAGAACTTGTAAAAGGAAATCAGGGACAAAGTCCCTTTTACAATATCTCCTCACAAAAGACAAGCCATTTAGGAATAAATCTAACCAGGGATGTAAAAGACTTATGTAAAGAAAACCAGGAAGGGTGAATAACGAAATTAAGAGTTCCTGGGGGGTACAACAGGGGAGGTTGGGGTGTGTGTAATGGAGAGCCAATAATAAGAAGGAAGAAAATGCTTTAAAAATGATTGTGGTAGTGATTATACAACACTTCTGTATATAACTTAACTATTGAATTATATGGTGTTTGGATTATCTCCTAATAAAACCATTTTTTAAAAAAGAAAGAAAATACTGCAAAAGGCCAAGAAATACACACACACACACACACACACACACACACACACACACACACCCCTTGTTCATGGATAGGTAGACTTAACATTGTGAAAATAGCAATATTACCCAAAGCAATCTATACATAAAATGTAATTCTGATACAAACTCCAACAACATTATTTAATTTTATATGAAAAGAGAAGAGGCTGAAAAAAAAAAAGGAGGCCCAGATAAATAATACACCACTGAAGAAGAACAAAGTAGGAGACCTCACACCACCTGGTCTTAGAACCAACTATACTGGTCAAAACAGCCTGGTATTGGTACAATACATAGAGGAATTGAGATTCTAGAAGTAAATCTATGTATCCATTAATGGGGAGAGACAGTCTCTTTAACAAATGATGCTGGAAAATTGGATGTCTATCTGTAGAAAAGTGAAACCAGATCCATACCTCACACTGGTATGCAAAAACGAACTCAAAATGAACCAGATACATAAATATAAAACTATAAAGATTATGAAAGAAAAATAACAAAGCTCCAAAACCGAACCAAACTCACTCCCATTGAGTCACTTCTAACTCAGTGATCCAAAATGTAGCAAATATTTGGCCATATTGTAGGAATATTGGAATCCTCATACACTGCTGGTGGGAATGTAAAATCCTACAACCACTATGGGAACTGGTGTGGCACTTCTTGAAAATCTAAATGCAGAAATACCATATGATCCAGCAATCTCATTCCTAAGTATATACTCTGAGAACCATGACATAAACAGACCCATTCACACTGATATTCAATGCAGCACCTTCAGTGCCCATCACAGATGACTGGATAAACAAACTGGTACATACACACCATGGTATGCTATGCAGCAATAAAGAATAGTGGTGAATCCAAGAAAAATTTCACAACATAGATGAATTTGAAGGACATTGTACTGAGTGGAATAAGTCAATCACAAAAGGACAAATAATGTAAACACTATTTTTTTAAGATTTATAAATCAACCACTATTTTTTAAAGATTTACACAAGATTGTAACTTCTTAGCTGGTTATCAAGAATGGAAGTGAGAAGGAGAAAAAATTACTAGATAAAGAACACATGCTCATAACAGTGAAGGGAAAGGCAATTCACAATATGAAAAAAGTCAGCACAATGTGGCCAAGGCTAAGGAACACACTGAGATAGACAAGAATAAAGCCTGACTATAGAGTCACTATGAGTCAGAATAAATTTTATGGCAGTAAATTTGGTTGGTTATTTCTTTTTTTACTTGGAATAATTACTGCAAAATAGATCTTCTTGCAACAATGTATTAACAAACAGTATTTTACAAATGGATTCACAGGTAGATTGGTAACACACCCACCTGCAGATACACGGTTGGTTGTGGGTATTTCTATGTACATAATTATAGGTGCTACATATATATCAATACAGACATTAGAGCACACAAGGACACAGTCGTGGAAACTTCTCAGGCAGAACCAGACACCTCACAACAACGTGCCTAAGTCTGAAGGCAACAGACCATAGACTCAGTGGACATCTACATCAATTGATACAGCATAGTTGATAGAGACAATGTTCTGCATCCTACTTTGGAGAATGGCGTATGGGGTGGTAAATCTTGGCAAACAGCCATCTAGGATACAAGTATTGGTCTCTTCCTGTCCAGAGCAAAGGAGAAACAAGAACGCCAAAGAGTCAAAGGAACGATTAGTCCAAAGGACGAGAAGACCACAGGAACCACTGTCACATGGCCCCAAGACCAGAAGAACTAGATGGTACTCAGCTACCACTACTGACCTCCCTGACTGGGAGCATAACCAAGGGTCGTAGAAAGAGTAGGAGAAAAACACAGACACACAAGTAGACTTACAGTTCTGACAGAAACGAGTGAAATCTCCAAGACTTTGGCCCTAAGACACCCTTCTGACGTGGAACTGAAGCCGTCCCCAGAGACCACCTTTCAGTCAAACAATAGATAGGACCGTAAAATAAGTGATAACAGCTGAGAGTTCCTTAGAACCATTTATCATGCGAGATCCAAAGCCAAAATGAGAAGGCAGGAAGGAGCAGAAAGTCCAGACACCAGGAAATAAGGAACCCAGGGCAGAAAAGGGGAGAATGCTGACACACTATGAGAAATGCAACCAACGTCATGGAATCATGTACAAAATATTGAATGGGAAGTTAATTTGGTCTGTAAACGTTCACCTAAAGCATAACAAAAATATAAAAACAACAGTGTCTGGCACATTAATAAGGCTACATGAATGTTGTTGCTGCTGTTCAGTGCTAGCCATTGGTTCAAGTCCAACAGAACAAACACTGCCCAGGTTGAAGCATTCTCACAATCATTGTTGTATTTGAGCCCATTGTTGCAGCCACTGTGTCAGTTGAGGGTCTTCCTCTTTTTCATTGAGCTTCTGCTTTACTAAGCATGATGTCCGCCTCCAGGGACTATAATGATCGGGACACATTAACGTTGGGTCCGAAAATGGTACCTGGTATACTTTTATCCCAGTTTTCAATTACACGTTGATTTGCCCTGAAATGAACACATGCATGGACAGGAGGGAAGTGATCTAGCCACAGGCAGGGGTGACTCAGATCGACACACTGCAGTGATTTCTTTTCTCTTTTTTTAACAAGTCAAGAATTTAATCACGAAACAAAGAACTTGTCTGTACTTACATCTCCAACAGGGCAAAGAAATCTAACACAATGAGTTTCCAGAATCAGTGACCAAAAAGCCTTGTGCACAAGTGGTAACTAGAGCTATCCTAAAGCAATATGTTGCATCGGCTTTTCCATTTGGCAAAAGATTTTCAAAAGATCTCAAAACCCACTGCTATTGAGTCCAGCTGATTCATGTAACCCTAAAGGACAGAGTAGAATCACGCGGCCTCCCAGGGCTTCCAAGGCCGTCCTTCTTCATGGAAGCAGACACCCAGCTCTTTCCCATCCAGAGCCCCTGGTGGATTTAAGCCACCGACTTGCTGGTTAGCAGTGAAGCACTTTAATTTCACCACCAGGGCTTCCGAAAGTATCTCTATGGTAGTCAAAATGTTCACTATCTAGTAGAAAGCCAGAAAAAAAAAAGAAAGAAAGTCAAACAGACCCCTATTTCCCACCCCACCCACCCACCCCACCTCAGAGTCCCCACCCACCCACCCCACCTCAGAGTCCCTAGTTGGTACAAATGGTTAACTTCAAGATTGGAGATTGGTACCCACCCCGGCATGTGTCCAGGGGAAAAAAGCCCAGCAGTTTTGAAAGGTCACAGCCAATGAAGACCCTGCAAGTACACTTCTCTTCTGGCCCACTTGGGGTCACTAGGAGTCAGAGGTGACTAAGGCAATGGGGTCGGGGGGCGGGGAGTGTTGACACTTGCAGCACCTGGCAGGCTATTGGTATGGTCACTGGTTTTTGTGGTGACAAGAATAGCCGTGCCTTCCTCCATCGCTGGTAGGGGCAACAAGTGGTCGGAATCGGCCTTGGGTCTGCTCTTGACACAGTCTTCGCAGGTGCATTCTTCCACAGTGTAGCCCAGGCCGCTCGGAAGGGCAATTTCAACCCCAGTCTTGCTGCTGTCCAGGTCCACGTTAGCCACATCCTGGAGAGCTGGTCCTGGTTATGCAAAAACAGAAACATTAACGTACACTTCCCAGGGCTGTGGTCACAGCGGCCTTAGCAGTACACGTCAGGACTCCGAAGCACAGTGAGACACATGGCCTCGTGATTCTGAGAAGCAGGAGGGTGTCCTGCGCTACAAGCCACACACAGGCTCACAGGCCACCATTGGTTTGAAAACATACATGGTTAGGGGCATACAGCGCCTTTGCATGTTTTGTCCACATTTGAAAATCTAAAGTGTTTACCTGGCAAGCTGGATGACTGTGCTCTCACTTAAAAGGTGCTCGAATCCCTGCAGGGGATCAAGCTGCTGAAGCCCAGAGTTGCAGGCAAGGTGTGGCTGCAGCTCCACCCTGCCCCCTTGGGAAGGGAGAGGTTGATCTAGCTGTGACATCTCTCACCCCACTGGTTGCTGAGGTGGTTACCAACTTGGCCTTTGAAAGCATTTTGAGCTTTTGTGTCACTCTGGAGAGTGACAGGAGTGACCATATGTCTCAGCCCTCAAGATCAGCCTATGGGCAACTAAAGTATAGATGCCTCTCTTCCAGAGCATTTTGCAGCAAATGAAATAAATAATAACATGTCTCTTGTGCTCACATAAAAAGGAGTCCCTCAAGTTTACTACCTTCTCAACAGCACGCTTAAAGTCACTTCCCACCCATCTGACAGACCCCAGGCAAAGAGAGAAGTAAAGGTGGTAACTGCAGAACACCCATCTCCCTTCTCCCGGGGGAGTCAGAAAGCAACTGGGGTGTACGCTGTACTCATTCTGCATGGGGGAGTGAGGCCACTGCGGCTTAGTGCTTCGAGCCAGACCACAGGCTGCTGGAAGATCCTGACCTTAAGAAGCCCTTCCATGGAACACCCATTTCTCTGGGACTGGGTCTCCACTGCTTCCTCAAGACCATTATTTTTGAGAGGGTGACGTCACTCATCGAGGAACAAATGGTTGTTCCTTCATAGCACATCTCTCTTCACCCAAAGAGATTTGTATGAGAACCATGGCGTCTCGGGAAATTCACTGTTCCAGACAGAGTCTGACAGCATCATGTTTCATCCACGTCCTGACTTTCAGTCAGACGGGTCTTTCCCGAGGAAACCTGGGTACTGCAGTAGAGGAATTACCAAAGGAAAAATGGTGGGAGAAGGCTGCCATTGCACGGAGCCTGTAACAGAGAGCCAGCACCAGAATGAGGACGGCTCACCTCTGCCTTAAGGAAGTTCCTTACACAAACTGGCCTCTCACGCGATTTAAAGGGCTCTCACCAAGGGCAATAGCAATAGACAACTGGGACTCGCAAGGGCCACCGCTTGGAAAGAGGCTTCAAAGATTCATCAATAAACCCACCTGTGTGTTTGAATTTGTCCTTTAGTAGTTCAGCACCCATCTTTTTGAGCAAGAACATCAGCACGAAAATGGCCAAAGAAACCATCAGGCACAGGCCTAGACAGGCCCAGAAAATCACACTGGGTCCCTTGGTGGAATTAGTCAGACCTTCATGGAAACAACATCAGATGGTATCAGCATTGACTTTCAAATTCTGAAGAACACTTAATTAGGAGAGTTGATGAACATTGATTTTGCTAATAGTGCTGAATAAAAAAGTGAGTTCTGGTCTGAATAAGTACTTTGTTCCTGTCGGCATTTAACTCACTGCCCTCTCTCCTTTTGCTTTGATTCTGAAACAACAATCTCCTCATCTTCCCTCTCACATTTGATTAATCAGGACAGTCACTAGAGAAAGAAGGGAGGGAGGAGAAAAGAGAAAGGAAGGTAAACGAGAGAAAGACAGCTCACACCCATGAATAATTGTTCCAGGAACATTACTTACTTGCATTGCAGTAACGCTGACAGGTTCGAGGAGGGGTATTGGAACATCGTAGGTAACAAGGTTTGCAAGAATGAAGCAAACCATCAAAATATTGACCTTGGAAGCACTGTTGAGCCATCTGGAACTTGGCTGTAAAAAGAAACAAGGTAACCACAGAAAGAGCAGCTTCCGACAAGTAAAACTCTCATCAAGAATTCCTTAGCAAATGATGCCCCAGCAGCCAGAATACCAAAGAAGTAAAACAGAACTCCAGGCAGTCACCCTTGGTTCTTTGTGGGGGTGGTCACCTTGCGCTGTGGCTAAGGATTTGAATACCAGCTAGAATTCAAGTTTCTAAGTTTGTAGGTGGAGGGAGATCGGAAGTAGGCTGTCAATATCCAGGGCAAACTACACCTGAAACAGAAACTGTTTATTTATAGAGGAAACGTCACATGCAGGTGACAGTTGCAAGATGTAGACAAGCCTGGAGTAGGAGGTTCAACAGCCATGGTGGGACACCTGTGATGGGAGGGGTGCTGGGCCCCAGGGAGAGAGTTAAGGTAGAGCCGTAGCCCTTAGGAAACGTAAGAGCTATTGAGAAGCACACTCAGACAACCATAAACGATGAAGAACATACGTCCCTGCATCCAAAGACTCCCAAGTCAGAAAAACTCAGAGATCTGAGCCAGAGATCTGAGCCTAGACACCCTATAGTTAAACTGACGCAAGTCCAAGACCAGGATAAAATCCTAAATCTTAAAAGTCGTGATAAAATGTGAGAGAGTGAAAGAGCTATTAAAAATGACCAAGAAGTTCTGAACTTGGGGAAACTTCAAAGCCACTGGCAGAAATGAAGTCTGAAAACAGAGCTAACTTGCAAGGGGTGGAGAGAACAGAAACTTAAACCATGGATAAGCTGATAAAAAATTATTCATCACCCTACCACCCAGCAAAGACTATTATCATGTTTTTGGAATGCCACAGAGGGTGTTAACATTTGAGTAGATACACTTTGTTTGATCTACTCTGTCCTCTAGTAGTTAAAGTCCAGATGAGTTGACTTGATGGCAATGGATTTAGTTTGGGTGGGGCAACCAAGCTTAAGCACTTAAATGTTCAGCAGCTACCAGAAAGGTTAGCAGTTCAAACCCACCCCAAGGCACTCAGAAGGATCTAGAAAATAGCCGTGAGAGGCCTGTGGCTTTCTTTCTTTTTTTAATCATTTTTATTGGGGGCTCGTACAACTCTTATCCCAATCCATACATATATCCATTGTGTCAAGCACATTTGT